CCAACAGTTGTTCCAAGTTCTCCTACGGTTGTCGTTACAATTTCTGCTGTTGTTCCTTGTGTAACTTCAGCAGGTGTTGCACCTCCAAAAGTTGTTCCGACTTTTCCTACGGTTGTCGTTACACCTTCTGCTGTTGTTCCTTGTGTACCCTCAGCAGGTGTTTCATGTCCAGCAGTTGTTCCAACTTTGCCTACGCTTGTCGTCACACCTCGAACTGTTGTTCCTCGTGTACCTTCCGCAGGTGTTCCACGTCCAACAGTTGTTCCGAGTTTTCCTACGGTTGTCGTTACAAATTCTGCAGTTGTTCCTTGTGTAGCTTCAGCAGGTGTTCCACGTCCACCAGTTGTTCCCACTTCTCCTACGGTTGTCGCTACACCTTCTGCTGTTGGTCCTTGTGTAACTTCAGCAGGTGTTGCATGTTCAGTAGTTCTTCCTCCTTCTCCTACGGTTGTCGTTACACCTTCTGCTGTTGTTCCTTGTGTAGCTTCAGCAAATGTTTCACGTCCAATTGTTGTTCCGACTGTTCCTACAGTTGTGGTCTGAACTCTCGCTGTTGTTCCTTGCGTGCCTTTCGCAGGTGTTCGAGGCCCACCAATTGTTTCGGCTTTGCCTATAAGACCGGTCGCTCGTCCAGCGGTTGTGTATTGTGTGGCTTCGGCGGGTCTTTCATGTTCAGAAGTTGTTCCAACTTTGTGTACGGTTGTCGGTAGACGTTCAGCTGTTGTTGTTTGGGTATGCTCAGTAGGTGTTTCATGTTCAAGTGTTGTTTGGCGTTTTTCAACTGTTGTTGTGACACCCTGAAGTGTTGTTTGTTGTAGTGTCTTAGTTGGTGTCTGATGTTCATCAGTGGCTTGGAGTTTGACTGCCGTTTGCTTGGGTCCTGCAAATGTTGGTGGTTGTGTTTCCTGTGGTGGTGTTTCTTTTGCGTTTGTTAGTGACGGTTTTTGTGTTATTGCCGAGACAGCTTCAGCGGTGTTTCGGGATGTCTCTCTTCTTGTTTCTTCGATCTGATTCAGTGGTGGAATTGCTGGGAGGGTTCCTAAATTGACAAGATCTTCAGTGAGGTGTCAAGTGTATGCCTTTGGCGCGTGTTAAGAAATGGAGAAGATTTTTACCTTGTGTATGTCCGGAAGTGATTGGCGGTGCACAAGCAATAACAGATAGAGTGACATTCTCTGGCGGTTTGTGGTTATTGGTGGTGAGAAGTGCGATTACTAGCTTTATAGTTTTCTCTTTTGGAAAGCGATCTTTTGGCAAGGCATGTGGCTTTCCTCGTATGGTGTATATATTAGTGTGAGCTTTTGTCATGAAGCTGACCAGAATGTTGTCGACGTTGGGCGATTGAACCTTGACGTCGAGTATAACAGTTCCTTCGCTTGGCATATCGATGAGAATGATGGGAGTTATATCAGTGAAGTTAACACCTATTTTTATCAGGCCTGCTTTATTGGGAATATTTTCTGGTGTGGTGGTAATGGAGCTGCTTGTAATAAGTGTATCTATATACTCCATATATTGGCAGTAGTGTTTCGTTGTTGTTTGTGACATGAGAGTCGCTTTACTGGTAGCTATCGTTAGTGGTTCCTCGCTACTTGAGGAGGACTCGTCGCTTTGTAATGTTGCTTCGGTAGTGGAAGAGCGGGTATCCTGGCTTTCTGATTGTGCATGTGGTGTCGGATATATTGTGAAAAGTGAACTTGTATTTGCGATTGTCGCGGATGTATCGGTGTCGATGTTTGAGGTCGTCTCAACATGAAATCGAGTTGTGCTGACGCTTTGCACTGGCGTACCACGATTGGTCGCCTCGGGTACCGTGAACAATGTCGGGCTCGTGGTAGGTTGGGTCTTCGTAGTCTCATATGGGTTGAGATGTGTGCTTGCTGTTTCTGAAATGGTTGAAAGGGATATTTGATTTTCTACTCTCTTTACGTCAATGATGTGAAACAGAAATGAAATCAGTTCGTGCTTTTTTTTTAAGCCCGGCTGAGCTGAACTGAACTGATTGGCTTTTTGTAACCTTCGAAGCGAATCGAGCTGAAGGGAAAATCCCGGTAATTTTGGGATCATTTGGTAAAAATAGATGCAGTGAACTCGCTCTTTTCGGTGAACTTCTAATATTTTATGATGGTCTGAAGAAATGGCATTGCTGCAGCTTTATGTAGCCTGTTTCTGAGATGTTTCGAAAGGATTTGAAAATTGGATTTGAGCTTGTGACACCGTTAAATGTGCTGCTACTTGTTTCTGTATTTATCGTTTTATGTCAATGTATGTAACGACTACAAAACTGTATATAGTATGAAGAAAAAAGTCAAAACTGTGTAGGATACCTGGCAAACAAAATGGAGAAGAGGGACGGATAGAATCTATCATATATATGACGAGTAAGGAAAACGTCAACACATAGATCTAATAATGGAGAGAAGGAGAACAAGAAAAGCAAAGCAGGGTAAGAGACAATCTCATGACCATATCCAAATAAATGCTGAACACAGTACAGCTGCCTCTACACAGAAATTTTTGCCTATGAACTTGAAAATTTTCTTTGCGATCGTTTGTTACGGTTTACGCAATTTTCAACGATTAATTGGCTTTCAACCGCTGAGCTAAGATCGATTAGTTCTTTGCAGATTTCAATTTATTTATGTACATACGTAGTCCTCAATTTTTATTCTACGGACTAAATATTTTATATCGATAAAGACATTCTCTACTCTGTTCCTCTTACAATACAGACGCTTTTCCATCTATGATTCCATGGAAATAAGTATAGTATTTTAAAATCTCTGAGTCTCTCTCAATACAGTATGGCACATTATTCTTTCCATTGATGTACTGTGTATGAATAATTTATTACGATAGTATCGAAAATAGAAACTGTTTCTGAATGAACCAGCCTCGCACTTGTTTTCAGTCATACAAACTGCTTGATTATCAGCACCAAAAGACAGTCGAAAAAATAAATCCGCGAAATATAAAATTTTCGAAGAATTCACACTAGTTGTATACATTTATTTTGCATACATATCTTCTACGATTCGGAAATATGGATCAAGAAGCAAACAAATCTAGAACATGTAACTACATAATTCAAATCTCAGCGAATACATGATCATCTAGTTTGTCAGTTTACATCATCATAGTTAAGACGATGTCAATTCTCCAAGTTTTATGCATACCAGAAAGTTTGGTTTGAGAAGCAAAGTGTACATTCCGATAGAGCAACGCATGTTGTATCGAATCAATAGAAAGTAACGTTTCAAAACTACTTTTGAAACTGTCTGTAGTATAAAGTTTTTTTATGACCTTATTCATCACATCATAGTTATTCTCTTGATTTGCAACATGATTTGAGAACGTGTTTCAAAAATATATAACAAAATGAGTACTCAAACAGTAAAAGAAATGCGCATGGAAGTTATTACTAGCTTTACCGAATGTAAACTTTATCCGTTCCTTTGCTATATCAATGGTAGAATGTATAGAATCCCTTCTCATTTTTCTCGAACCGAGCCGAACCTAACCGATTCAATTTTTTATGAGTTCAACCAGAATTGATTTCGGATCGATTCACTTCCGTTCACTGTGCTTCGGAAACAAGCCGCTCCTATCACTAGTATGCAACAACAAACAATGAGAAATCTTACCTTCTGTGATGCTTTTTGTTGCTCCAGGAGCACAGGCGACAATTGATAAAGTGACATCCTTTGGCGACTTATTGTCAGTCGTACCTATAAAGACGATGACAAGCTGCACAATCTTTTCGCTCGGAAAGCGATCTGTGGGTAAATGGGTTGGCTTTCCTCGTATGGGGGAGACATTAACACCCGATTTTGTGGTGAAACTGATCATGATGTCATCGACGTTACTTGATGGAACTCTAACATCACGAACAACAGCACCTTCGCTTGGGATATCGATAACAACGATTGGGCTTGTTTCGGAAAAGTTAACACCGTTTTTTATGAAGTCGACTTTATTGGGAATGTCTTTTGGTTTAGTAGTAACAGAGTTACTAGCAATAAGCGTGTCGATATACTCCATATGTTTGCAAAACTGTTCTGCTGTTGCTTCTAGCATGGGAGATGTAGTACTTTCCATAACTATCGATGTTTCTTTGCTACTTGACGAGGAACTTTCATTTGGGTATGTTTTTCGCATAGCGCTCGCGAGAGTCTCTTGACTTTGTGATGACTTTTGTGGATTGAAAAACGTTGTAGTTTGAAAAATAGATGTCGTTCCAATTAAATCTGATGCAGTTGGCTTACTGCTGGTGAATGTTTGAGAATGATATTCACTTGTGGTCAAAGTTTCCTCGGGCAATGCATAAACGGCTGTTTGCGTTTCAGTTGACGGTGTGACACTTATTGTTGTTTCTGAGATGGTTGTCTCAGGTGATTGGCCAGATGTGGTCATCGTTTCTAGAATTATCAGAATCAATATTAGGTATTTACAAAACTGGAGTCCGCGGTGTAAAGCAAAGCACTTGTAACTGTGAACATTAATGGCCCTAGTTTCGGAAATCACGAACTCAAACAGTTATTATCTAGTGATGCTGTTTCAGAACAATTGAAATAATTTCTTTTGAAAAACACAAGAAATGGATCGATTAAATTCATAAGAGTTCTTAGAGTTTTTACGCGTGCTCTAAAGTTTTGTTTTTTGGAAAATGTTGGCATGTCTTGAATACTTTCGTACCAATCTATTCGATTGTTCTAATACCATTATACGCTAAAAACTTATTTGCATCGTCAGATATACCCTATCCAAAGTGGCAAAAAAAAATTTTGCTCCTGGTTTAGTCGATCAAACTACCACACCAACTAGCTGCTGACATTGGTTTTATCGCTCAGTTAGCTATCCTATACGCGACTATATCTCTCGATCAGTTCTCACATACATCATTGAGGCGCCACCTAAAACTACAATACAGTCATTTTAGACTTTTTCTATGTCTTAGACCTAGGACAGTTCAATATCAGTTCCGATCTTGAGAACTCTCCCAACAGTTCTTTGATAGGAATAGATTTGCTCCATCACTTTCTTGACAGGAACAAGGGAAAGTTACTTACCGTTACGTTATCAAGTAACTAGTAATGAAAACCTGTAAAAATGAACCTTAGCGGTATACCACATTACTGACTAATAACATTCGCTGAAGTCCTTACCAGCTATTGTAAGTACAAAACATATAGAAGTCTGGCTCAAATGAAAGAGGACGCCTGATAACCACGCGATCAGCACGAACATCAATATAATTTGCCCTTACAAAAGCAGACAAAAAATGTACTGAAACTTGATTAATTGACAGCTTTTTCCATCAGCCAATCGCATTTCAGGAAGCCGTTTTTCAGCTATTGTAAAAACAACGCATATTGACCATCGGATCAAATGGTCAAGGATCAGACATAATCTAATTATTGGTCTGAACATCAAGGCACTAGAACATTTCGTCGCACGGCACTTCGTCGGGTTCTGTTCGTCGCAGAACAATTTTTTTCGTTCTCTTCGTCACACAACAGTTACTTTCGTTCTGTTCATCCCATCTCTCTTAATTACGTCTTTTTTTCATATAACCAACCGAAAAAAATAATATAAATTAAAGATTCTAAAAGATGTGTACAGTAACAGTAGGCAATGACAATTGACTGTTCTAAGACATATGACTTTAATTCAGAAAATGGATCAATAAAAAATGTTAATCATATGTGGTTTGATTCTGAGAGAGCTAAACTGAACAAGTAATAATTAAATTTGTCACTCGTTTAATGAGTTTCAACAGATTATAGACTAACGATACCAATGATCCAATGTTCTTAATTATGCGACCACCATAAACAAAAATATGCATTGAGGATGTTGAAAATATATTTCATTTCTCAATCTCAACGTTCACTGAACATTACCCTTCAAACAAAATGTCACAAATTAAAAAACTCCTTTCTGTCAAAGGAAAAACAATGCTTCTCTATGAAAGTTACATCTACACTACAAAACGTAAAACAACGATATTGTCGACCTCATCAATGTATATTTTTATTTATCGTGGTCGCATAATTAAGAACATTGGATCAGTATTCTCCTTGATATAGATTATGTTGAAACTTATTAACTGAGTGGCAAACCTAATTATTCTTCGCTCATTTGAGCTCTATCAGAGTCACATTTGATAAATATTTTTTATTGATCCGTTTTCCCAACAAAAGTCAAATGTCTCAGAACAGCCAATCGTTCATTGTTACTCTATATATTTTTTTAAATTTTAAATATATTTTATTGTATTTCGACTGGTTATACAAAAAAAAAGAATAAATTATGAAAGATGGGATGAACAGAATCAAAGAGACGGCTGTGCGAAGAGCAGAACGAAAAACATTGTTCTGCGACGAGCAGAAGCGAAGAAATGTCGTGCGACGAAGTGATCACGACGAAATGATCGCGACGAAGTGATCGGTCACCGAACATCAATACGCTTTGTTCTGAAAACCTTTGAAAAACAGCTTCATCGAATCTGATTGGTTAATAGAAACAGATCTCGATCAATCAAAACGTAGATTGGTTTTTTCCCACTATTCTAATCACAAAGCATACAAATGTTCGACTAGACCATACGGTTATTCAGGGTCCTCCTTCATTTAAGTCGAAGGTCAACAGGTTTTGTTCATGCAATCGCTGTAGAACGTACCTAGAGTGCCACTAGTCAACAGTGCGGCCAACAACTAACGCCCATTTTAGCAGGTTTCCGTCACCCGGAAATCAGGAACAGATCAGTTATAAGTAGCCAGGTAACGCAACCGGCTGGTCATAGTAACTTTTCTGCGAAACTGGTCAAGCAACTCAATTGTTGAAAAATGAATTCCTGACTATCAGCAGTTCGTTTTACAACCAGAACTAGCAATTATACCTAACTTGAGAAAAACAGCTCCTGACTATGCGCAGTTCCAGGGAAAACACTCAGTTCGAACAAATCCTAATCCGTCCAACTCTCAAACGGCCGCTAACAATTGAACAAACTCGATAAGAAAAAACAGCACGACATCGACGTACCACAAGAACAAGAAACACTGGCTGTGCCAAACAATGACAAAAAATTTATTCTAACACGACAATGAGAACTAAGAGACATTAAAATCGATCTCGATCCTGGACGACATACATGTCCCCACCGCAGCAATCTATATCTAGTCATTACTTCTGCTTATCATTCCGAGCCTTCCACAAAAACATAAAGGCCTCACCAAAATGCACACTATGGTGGCAACGCGTATCAAATTCTATGTGTAACCCGACATATTCTACCGCGCCCAAAACCCCATATTGCGCAAACCCACAATAACATAAGGAAACACATTGGAGCGCTCTCAATCAAAAACACAGCCCATTTCCATAATAAAAAACACACTTACCCTTCGTCAGCAATGCCGTTGGTGCAGAACCACAAGCTATAACCGACAATTTAACGCCACTTGGCGCCCGACTATCAACAGTACTTAACACAATAATCATAATACGCAAAATTTTCTCTTCCCCCAAGCTTCCGGCCAACAGCTTCGTCCCATTTCCATGTATGGGACGCACATTAACACCCCGCTTCGTCGCGAAACTCAGAAGAACCTCATTGATATTGCGCGACACAACTTCAACATTACGGACAACAGCACCATCATCCGGCATCGTGATAACAATCACTGGATTTCTCTCCGTAAAGTTTACACCATCCCGCATGAAACCAGCAAAATCACCAACATCTTCAGGTTCAGTACTAATAGATTTAGCCCCAACAAGAAAAGCAATATACTCAGTTTGCATGCAAAGCTCCATTGTTCCAGATATGACCGCAGCAGAGGTCGATGCACCAACCGAAGTAAGCCCACAAGTGGCATCCGTTCCACCCACAGCTCCTTCCGATATTCCTTCATTTCCCACAGTTATTGGCTTAGGTTCTTCGGTTGTTCCATCAGCAGCAACAGTCTTGGGGACAGTTGCTTCAGTAACTTCTTCAGTTGCAGCTGATGTTGATTGAGTTCCTTTCGTTGTTGTTTCAGTAGCATGAGTCTTGGCGACAGTTCCTTCAGACACTCCTTCGGTTGCAGCTGATGTTGGTTGAGTTCCTTCAGTAGCAAGAGTCTTCGCGACAGTTCCTTCAGTGACTCCTTCGGTTGCAGCTGATGTTGGTTGAGTTCCTTCAGTAGCAACAGTCTTGGCCACAGTTCCTTCAGTCACTCCTTCGGTTGCAGCTGATGTTGGTTGAGTTCCTTCAGTAGCAACAGTCTTTGCGACAGTTCCTT